TGTATTTCTGACATGAAATAAAGGTCCTCATAAAAAAAAAAAACCATCAGCCGTTCGGAGGCGGCTTAGTATAAACTGTAGGTCCCTCCATTTGTTGGAAAAACATCAAGAAGCAAAACCACAAATTGGAGGAGGAGCTCGGCGGAAACTCGCTTCAGCGGTTACAAAGCGTCAATTAGTAGCCCATTGTCTATTTTCTGGGTCTAAAGTCTGATTTCGGGGTACCCCTTTTGTAGATTGGGTAGGACACACTCAAGCTCCAACTGTCAAGAATGGTTTTGTCCAACTAAATTATGCACAGAAGCTGATACATGCACTTTCTAAGCTCTGCTCTGCCATGCTTGTATTACTCAGTCGGAAAGCCATCAGCTGTCGACGCTATATTATTGGTGGATGACTGCCTGTGCCATCCTCATTGATTGGGATGTACTGGTTTGTCTATCCGGATGTTTTATTATCATTGAAGTTATGCTAACTGGAGATGAAGTCTCCCCATAAAATCAATGTACTCTTAAAATCGGTCACCAGATCCCATTTCCCGTTACTACAAGAAAGGGTTTAGTTCTTGAAATGGTCTGTTAGTTCGCCACATTTTTTATGTTCCTCATACTCACGTATTTCAGCCTCCTACTTTATTCGTCTGCCAACTCGTCTCGCTACACTTTTCAACTCTCCGTATCTATACTACCCGTATCAACTCTCCGTATCTATACTACCCACGCACTGTATTTGATTTAGGCAGTCTTTTCTCTATTCACTGCGGTAGGACAATCCTCGCCGTACCAGTTCTGCTTTTGACCTTGTCTAAATCCATTTGTTTGGAGCTGCACGTAGGACACTGGAAATACTGACTCACACATTCTTTATACCGAGTCGTTGATGAGAGTAGAAGAGCAAGTCGAGTAGAAAACGGTTTAGCTGTCTGTTCGGCGGTTAACCTACCAGTTATTTCTACAAAATTTTCCGGCTTTTATTTCGGTGCCAGCATGATTAATGGACTTCCACTGCCTCTTTGAGTAATGCCGGAATGTCGCATCACAAAATAAAATTAAAAAGTGTCAGCAGCCACGAATGAAATTTAATTTACCTCTGCCCGAAAACCACATATTTCCCTCACACATTCGAGAGCTGAAAATGAACAAAAGATCATATCCACAGGCAATTTGATGAGCAAATAAAAATGCAAATGAACAAATTCGTTGGTGTGAAAAATCGATGAAAATATATATACGAACAAGTATTTCGCGCACCATAAATGTGACTTCATACATATACATATATATATACACCTGTATATTCGTACATAACTAGAGGTATCTGCTTGGAAACAGAAAATCGCTGAATGTGTGAAATAGAATTTGTTTTTCATGAAAATCACCTTTTTCAACATGTGAAAAGGAAATTAAAAACAGATACACTCAAATACAATAATCTGAAACACAGTAAAAAGCGTGCTAAAAAGGTTAGAAAACACAAAAGTGGGTAGAAGAGTGTAAAGCGAAATCAGCCTTAAATGTCTGCTTTTGCATTAGATTTAAGAAAAATGAAAGATAAAACCACAGATAAAACTAATAAACACTTTTGCACACACCGGCGCAGAGAGGAGAAGGTTTAAAATAAAGTAGTAAGAACATGGGCTAAGCAGCCGTGGCGCTGATGCGGAGGTATTCAGGTGTGCAGGCATTCAGGCAAGTTTATGTGTACTTTTGTATCTGGTATATTTTCATGTAATGCTTGAAGTGTTTGAGAATGGTATACATAAAAGAGCTTTACTTGCTTTACTTGCCACCTATAATAATAACAACAAATAAACACGTTTGCTAGCAAAGAAAGGATTCAGAAAAAGGTATGTAAGGAAAAGGAAAAATGGGCGAAATATTGGTGACCGAGTCATAATCATGATATGGAGCCTTGGAGTGGTTTGAAAACTGTTTGCTTAAATTAACTGCTTTAATTTATATGAAGCTGCAAGCAGATTCTTATCTAAATAAAATTGAAGCCTAAAGACTACATGATACCCACAAATTTCGGAAGAAAGGGTAATGAAGTTTAATTAAAAGATAGGAAATCACTATCACAACTCCTCTGTGAAGCTTTAACTTTTTTTTTTTAATTTAAATACTGACTTTTCGGAAGGTTTTTACAAAATTTCCAAAATTATTATATTGGGAATCTTTTAAATTATTCATTATTTTTCATTTAAGCTCTGTCAAATAAAAAACTCTCCATTTTACATTATTATATCATTAACTCTATAACTAAAAGGTAAAGAGATTTAAAATAATATTTTATTAGTATTATTTCACAAGTATAAAAAACTTTGCCTACATTTAGGCTGTTAGTGCTTGCTAACATAAACTAGCTTTAATCGTACTAAGTATGATGTATGATATAAGCTAATATTTTAATTTAAATAAACTCAACGAAGCAACAACAAAAAACTGAATACCAGACACATTACCTGCCTCCGCATCGAAATCTCATTGGCACGATTAAAAATTACGCATCAATAAGCAACTGAATAAAATAAAGCTCATGTGAAAAACTTTCCTTTAACAACCTATCCACTGACTCAGCCATCACAACTACCAATATATGTATATTTATGCATAAATGTATTTATATTTGTGAAAATAATTCTACCCTAAACACTTATACACAGCTAATGAGCCGCCAGAAATTCAGTTTGCCGAGTAAGAATATATCTAAGTAAGTATACTGGAAGTATAAGCTGTCTATATTTCCATATAATTTCATTTATGAATTTGCCTACGCAGCAGGCAGCCAGCGATATAGCGAAGGAAACGAGCATTTAAGGTAAAGGGAAGATAGATTAGAGTGAACTGAAGTGAAAAGTGAAAAGAGGAGCCTATGTATTTAATAAGCTTACTTCATTCAAGCAAGTGAAATATTGTCTGTTGTGTACATGTTTATAGGCCTGTGTACATTGGATTAGCGCATAAATTAAAATTCTCTTCAGAGGTATTTAAAAAATTATAATTAGTAGTAAAATAAATAAAGTAAACCATAATAAAATATAATGAAATATAATAAAACATATATTAAAATAAAATAAAATAAACTAAATTAAAATAAAATCCTATTATTGTATATTAAATAAAACCAAATCGCATCACATAAAATAAATAAAAAATAAATAAAATGAAAATAAAACAAACCTAAAAAAAAATAAAACAAAAAAATTAAATTAAATTAATTAAAATAAAATAAAATAAAATCAAATAAAATCAAATAAAATAAAATAAAATAAAATAAAATAAAATAAAATAAAATAAAATAAAATAAAATAAAATAAAATAAAATAAAGTAAAATTAAATTAAATTAAATTAAATAAAATAAAATAAAACTAAATAAAATAAAATAAGCTAAATTAAACAATCTTTTATACTGCCCACGATCATATCGACATTGTGAATATAATATAAGATTAAATATAGCATCTAATAAATTAGTGGCGCTTAGAGGCTTTTACTTTTCTTCTGATCAAAATTAATACAAAAATATACAAAAAATTTAAGCAAAATAAAGGTTTAATAAAATTAGATGAGACAAATTTAAATAGAAGAATAAAAAATTTTAAGTGAAAAATTTCAAATATAAGAAAAGAAGAACGTAACAAAAATAAAATAAAATTAATTAAATTAAGTGAAATAAATTTACATATGTGTACTTCCCTTAAGCGTACATAATCATGAAACTCACTTATTAAATTATAATTAATTAAACAGTTTTATCTTGTAGTAAATCATTTTAGCACCTTGTCAGATTTTACCATAAATAAATTGACTTTAGCCTCCATATCCGGTTTTAATGTTTAAAAAAGGTCGCCAGCTACTTTTTGCAACACTCACGCTTAATATAATAACCACTTATCTGATACATATTTAAGCATTCTCAACCGTAGGGTGTTTACTTAACCATGCCGCGTGAGGCGGACTGTGACAATACATATGTTGCAACTTGTTAACCAAATTCTTTGGGGTCTTTGTTACTGAATTGAACTTTTTTGCTTTCGTAAATTTTTATTTATATTTTGTTTTGCTTTTAAACTGCTTGTACGTTTGCCTGTGTACCATGACATTTTTGTCATAAAAGTCGCCGTACATGCAAACAAAATAAACGGTGCAATGAACAACATAAAAAGGGACGACACAACGTTTTCAACATGTATGGGATATATGAAGGCAGAGATACATACATATGCATGCTTATATAATATAACAAGTACAGATTCCTTCAGGCATGTTTTTCTGCTGTCTTCTTGTATGAGTGTGGCAAAACATGATTACTTGTTGTTTGCTTCACTCTATGCATGGGCATTTATTTAGGCATTTAAATGGTTACTGTTTAGTAAAAAGTACGATATTTCATAAAAATAATATTATTTTGTATTTATTACTTAAAAAAATGAGTGAAGAAGATTAAGAGATAACTAAGTAAACGAACGTCCTACGGTGCGTATGAGTAATATTCTCAGATGTAAATTTACTTTTAGTCGTCTTATGTGGAAAATGGGCTTATAGTTTTGTGGTACATAATCATTGTAAGGGCTATATTTTAATCTAATTATTATTATTATTTTTTTTTTTTTTGAAAAAAAAAAAAATTAATTGATTTCTCTCATATTCTTTAATTATAACAAATAGACAAAATTTTCTAAATTTAATTTTTTTATTTTCTGCACATAAAAATGTAAATGACTAAACTGTTAAAAACTAATTTCTTTCAGCGTTTCGACATCCAATCATATTTCAACGGATACGCAAAATAAACAAACGAACGAAGCGCAGCTGCAGTACTCCAGTCCTGTCGTGTGGAATTTCTATTTAATAAGCACATTTTGGTATTCAATTTTCTAACTTCCTGTGTATCCGTAGCGTTTAACAACAGCTCGCAAGCTCACGTCTATTGAGGCATTTAAGCACTGACAAACGATATCAGCCCCCGAATACATCCGAAAGGCAGCGAGACACTTGAGCGGTATACGTGTGCAAAGCGTCTCGAACTGAACAGCAGAGCACTGTTCGGTTAAATCGCGTTTCGCGTGTCAATATTAGCGCAATAGCAACTGCTGGGTGTGGGCGATACTGCGCCCCGCCACCGGTAAGCCATGAAAGATAGATATATCTGTATGCATACGTATTTTCATGAAAAAAAAACACAAACTTAAATTCATCTACAATCAGCTATGTACATATTCGCACTTGTTTGCCTTTGCACTTGCTCATTCATCACATTTCAACAATCATCACTTGCACTTGCACACACATACACACATAGAAACGCCTGAATTATGTGAGCTAAAAAGAATATTATTAATTTGCTGATATAGCCGAGGCCTTGTGTAGCTAATGAGTTCAACAAAAATTAAGCTTCCCTGAGTTTCATGCAGCATTCTTGTTTAATAATAAATTTATTTTATTTAATTTAATGTATATCTTTTTATAATCATCAATATTTATTTTTTATATTTTAATGTATTTTATCTTATTTTATTTTATTTTAATTTAATTAAATATAGTATCTTATTAATTACGGTAAATTTAAAAGTCAAAAATTTTAGTTTAATAATTAAATTAAATTTTATTTCTTAATTAATTTAAATTTAATAAACAACAAGTATATTAACTTTGGTTTTAGTCGTATTTATTTACTTCATTTTTTCGTTTATTTCTATTTATAATATTTTATTAGATTTTACTTATCTTATTTGGTGCATCTTTATGCTTTATTTTATTTTTCGTAATTTAGTATAATTTAAAATATGTATGCATTAATTTTTTTTATTTTATATATATTAAATTTAGTTTTACTGTGTTTTAATATTTTACTTTTATTTATTCTACATTCGTTTTTAAAATTATTTTATTTTGTTGTTTATTTCTTCGTAATTTTATTAAATTTTATATTTGTATTAATTCATTTTATTTTATATTATTTTGTTTTATAAGTATATTTGATTCTATATTTATTCAAACTCGTTTTACAATGTTTAATTGTTTCATTTTGTTTTTATTTACTTCTGCCAAGTTGAATTGAATTTAAGTTTTTAGACCTTCTTTAGTTTATTAAATTATTAAACATTAATTAATTAATTATTTAATTTTTCTTACTTTATTTCGTTTTTTTTTATATTATTTTTTACGTTTATTTTCGTTCTACTTTAATTTATTTTCTTTATTTTATTTTTTATTTTATTTTATATTCTTTTTATATTTTCGGCTAATTTAAGTTTAGTTTAATTTAATATTTCTAGATTCTTTTTTAATTTTAACATTAATTTATTTATTTCATTTTATTGTATTTTTAGTATTTTATTTTTTTATTTTATTTTATAATTTTTTTTAAATTTCATTTTATTTAATTGTTTTTTTTTAATTAATTTTTATCTATATTTTATTTTATATTTATTCAAATTCGTTTTGCTATTTTGTAGTTTTATTTTATTTAACTTACTTCTACTAACTTAAATTTTGTTTAATTTAGCATTAAATTATTTATTTATTTCATTTCTTTTCTTTTAATTTATTATTTTTTTCTATTTTTTTATATTTTATTTACACTATTTTATTTTACTTTATTTTAATTTTGCCTTATTTTATTTTAATTAATTTAATTTGGTTAATTTCTTTTATTGTAATTTATTTTAATTAAAGATTATTTTATTTTGTTTTATTTCATTTATTTTTAATTTTGTTTCTTAAACTCTTTTCATTTGATTTTCTTTTATTTTATTTATTTAATTTAATTTTATTTAATAATTTTTTCTTAATTTTTATATTTCATTTGATTTTCTTTTATTTTATATATTTTATTTAATTATATTTTTTAATTGTTTTAAATTTTATTTGATTTAATTTTTTTTATGAGTTTGGCTTAATTAAATTCTTTTTTTAATTTTTTTTATTTTAATTTAATATAATTTTATATTATATGATTTATTTTATAATTTATTTCATTTCAATTTACATTATGGTGGACTATTTAAATAACTGTATAGGCAAATATGTCCGTTGTGATACAAAGAATAGATGGAAAATGTCATCATTTATTGCCGCAGTAAAACATTTTCGATTTGACTCTAACAACATATATCTACAATTTACCGCCAATTTAAATGAAATTGATTTTCCAATAAACTATCTACCAAATATGTATTCAGTTATTTATAACGGTTTCAAGAAATATTTACCGTATTTCAGTCACGTCAACCACATTACCACCTGACTAACTGGAATGCCTGCTGTTAGCTAAGGGCACTCGACAGTCGCAAAAATACTGACTGGCAACAACAACAGCAGTAGATTGAAGCACATTTGTTTTGCTAGGCTTGTCAGCGAGTGCTTGTGTGTGTGTGTCAACCGACGTTGAGACTGTAATTGATGCGCTTGTGTCAGCACTTGAGCAGTCGTTAGAGAGGCTGAGTGACCTATACCCATGGCTATAAAGTATGAAACTTTAGTAGAAAAAGAATATTTTCGGTTTACTTTTATTTTTATTTTACACAAATGATGATGACTCTGGCGTGTTGGAATTACTGATGCTGTTACTCGATAATCTCACGCGCAATTGGCTCAATTGCTATACAGTTTTTGTAGAAATGAAGAGTAGTAGACAGACAGTTGGAATTGAAAAAGTTTCTGCTGAAGCGACTGGCAATGCTCTTGACATGAACGTGCCAAAGTCAAATACGCAATTATTTATTATCTACAACTCCGTCATATTTTTATGTGTATAATTTATCTACTGATTTATGGTAGGCATTTATTTTGCCGTAGATTACACACGCGAGTTGCTTGTGAATCTATAAATTTGCTTTTGTGCGTTTGTGTATTTTGATACTACTGTCGCCCAACTCGACTCAGCTCATCTCCACTTATCTCATAGTCTCGCACTCGTGGCAGTGCAAGTGTTCATTATTAAAATTATTCGTCTCTCTGTTTGTTATATTTTTAGTTATAATTTGTTTTAACACGCTGAATAAATTTTAGTTTTAATATTCTTTTTCTTTTAACTGCACTTTCTGGGCATGCACATTTCTGTTAATTTATTTTGCTGATTATTTTTAATGCAAATAAAAAAGTGTAGCAGTGATGCAAGCAAATTTCGGTTCCAACGTCACAGAGAAGGTAAAAATAATATTTTTCTTCTTTGAACGAACGGTAGTTAGTGTAGATTTTCCACCCACAAAAACTTCATGCAACATCTCTCACCTTTATTCTCCTCAAATTCTTTCATCTCTCGCTGTTTCTCTATCACACATACACACATTGTCGGTGTTGTAACTGTCATTCTCATATCCTTTTTCATATTTACCCGTAAAATCTTTGTTCATACTGTATAATTATTATGTAATTAATATACATATACTTTGTAAAAGAAACAATTACTAATGAAACTTTCAAGGCATATGAAATTTTAAAGAGGTGAAATCGTTTAACGGTTGCTCGGTTGCTTAACGGAAGCACCAAAAGCAATTATTTGTTGTTTTTTACGATTTTTACCATCTTTCAGTGTAAATGTAGCATTCGAAGTGAAAACATGCACAGTTAGTTTTAATATTAACATTAATCCCTGATACTCTTTATAGCTAAAAAAATATTTTATATAATTTTATAGAACAAATTATCTGCGATTAATTGTGCGTAGTACCCATTTAATGTATAGTTAGGCGAGCATTTCCATAATATTGCTATCCATTTTGCCACTAGTCTTCGTTAAAAAAAAATAGTAATAATAAAAAAAAAATAAAGTGAAATAAAAATGGGAAAGCAAAAGGTGAAAAAATGGAAAATCAAACAATTTATGGCTAAGTTTTGTTAAGGCTAGGTATATGTACCGTTAATTTCCTCCTTCCATTTGCCCCAAAGCCACCTACGAACGGGTGATGAGTTGTTATGAGGAGGCCTTTATGTCATGCTAGAAATACACTCAAGCGATCTGACTAACACTCTCCACCGAATAGCAACCGCAAATGAATTTTCTATAATTTTAGATGTCAATGTAGCCAAGACTCGAACCCATGACTCTTTTTTTCGCAATGATTAAGATGATTAGAGCTTGAACCTCGTTCAATAATCCTTTTTCGGCAGCACTTTTTACATCGCAGTTGTTATGAGTGAGAGGTCCCAACGAAGACCGATATTAACATTATCTCCATTGGCCTGAAGTTTACTGATCAGTTAAAACTATTCTCTACGGTATTATAAAGTACTCCTTAATACCCAAGGTTTGAAGAAGACATTCCGAATTCTAATAAATGTCGTATAAATTTTGCCAAAATTATTCATAGTGATAAAGTTACAGTGTCTGTACTTGCTACTTTAAATTCGTAAACTACTTAAGTATAGACGAAGATGGAATTCGTATCCACTCCATTTTCCTCGGATCGTTTTCAAGTTTTGCCACTTGGTAAATATCTGACCGATAATAAATCCGCGATGTGTAATGCCACACCATCATTGACCGATCAGCCTTTTCAAGATGGATTACAATATTTGTCGCAATACTAATTGAAACAGAGTGCAAGATATCTCTTCTGCAGTAAATGAATAGCACCCACGGATTGCGTCTTTGCTATTTTCCTTGTTTGAGGATTGGATGTGAAATTCAACGCCATCGGCCTGCTCTTGCATTTCGGCCTCTCGGTTCCATGTCTGAGCTTGCCTCCCTCGTCATATCATATTTAAAATCAATCGATTAATCAATAGCCAAAAGTTCTTCAAACCGTCTTGCTCTCAAGCGTTCTGCAAACCAACAATAAGTTAGCACTATTTCAGTTACGGAATAACGAACAACTAGATTATAAATTATATTTATTGTACATTAAGTTTGAGAACCTCTTAAACATTTTTGAAACACTTTTAGGGAAACGCTCTGTTAATTTAGTTAGCTGAATATAAACCAAATAAATATAGAAATGAGTCGGCTTGCTTAGAATTTTATTTCTATACATACAAGCACACACACCAACTGAATTTATTGCACATATATGTATAATCATAATTTGTGTTGCGTGAAACAAATTTTTGGTAATTTTTTATAATTGCGAATAAAAAAATGCAACTTAAACAGAGCTTTTTGTGCTTTATATAACAGTTTTTGCAATGCCTTGCCTACACTTTTCACAAACAGAAATATTTATTTATACATATATAAGTGTTAAAACTAAATAGGAAAAATATGAGACAAAATTTGATATAGAAATAGTAAAATATATTTTTAGAAAATAAATACTCCTATAGTAATAGAGCAAAAACAAAAATGAAAAGTCCAAAAATTCGAAAATAAAACGAAAATTTACTCTCCTCTCTCTGTCTTTTTCACGCGCTCCCATTCCGTGCCATTGTGCAGGAGCCTAAAACCAGCACCCTGAATTTCTCATCGTTCAAATCGAGCTTTACTTCCAATGTTAATTTCCTGAAGAGAAGGTAAAAGCCTTGAAAATCCATAGCAGACGCGCTCACATACACAGCCGTCTGCAAAAGCAGCAGCGAATAGCACTAATTTAAAATTTCATATGTTCTCTCCATTTTCTTCTTCCATTTCGTATTTGTATCTATTCTTTTTACTTACGAAAATATGATTACCAAAAAAAAAAAAAACAAAAAAAATAATTGAAAATAAAACAATTCCACGCTATGTAAATACCTGCAATTACAACACATTCGCTAAAATCACACCAACAAATTCACATACACACATTCCACACCTAATCAACCCCACACTCACACTTTATCATATAAAAACACGCCCACCCAAATTGGCAATTTTGCCAAATACACAATATGCAGATTTAGCTCGGGAGACCTTTCTTCCGAGCATGATGATGTCGATCCCAGTCAACTACCGCCTGCTGCGCGGCCCATCCAGGATCAACCAACGAAGCCGCCAATTAGTAATGCCGGCCCACCGAATATGCCACCACCGCCAGCGCCAGGTGTACCAACCGCCGGTGCCGCCGCTGGTGGTCCGGAGCTTTCGTTGAGTTTTGGTGGCGGCAAGACGGCAACACCTGCACCGCCGCGTGGTGTGAGCGCACCCACCAGTCCGGCTAAATCGCGCGAAAGTTTATTGCAACGTGTGCAGAGCTTGACGGGAGCAGCGCGTGATCAAGGCGCTTCCATATTGGGTAATGTAGTGAAAATTATGTCTATTTCTTATAATATTATATAAGTATATGCGTATGTATAATATGATAAGCTGAAACAACTTTTTTCTTTGAACGAGAAATCAATTAGTTTGCGGTTGAGTTCTTAAATAAAATACGATCAAATAAAATCAAATAAATTTAAGTTAAACTGCTATAAATGATAAAATCTAAAGTAAATAAAAAAGTAAAATAAAAATGTTAAGCCACAAGGAGAATTAAAAAATAAATAAAAATAAAATAAAATAAATAATATAAAAGGAAATATAATAATGTAGAATAAACTAAAGTGAAAAATATAACAATTTAAGAAAAATTTATATAAAAAGTAAAATAAAATCAAATAATAACAAAAAATAAAATAAAATAATATTAGTAAAATACTATGAAATAAAACTAAACAAAATAAAATGAAGTAATATAAATATATTAAAATTCAATAAAATGAATTAAAATAAAATAAAATAAAATAAAATAAAATAAAATAAAATAAAATAAAATAAAATAAAATAAAATAAAATAAAATAAAATAAAATAAAA